TTAGAGAAGGCATCCCAAGGATGAAGAACGAGATGGTGGGGGCTGGCAGGTGGTGTGGTGAAGGGTGTTGGACTCCTACATGGTTTACCACGGTTCAAGTCCTGGACCTGGCAACTTGCTTTCTCACTTTTTTTCTCTCTCTCATCGAATAAATAAATTAATTAAATTTTAAAAAAAAAAGAACAAGGTGGTAGTCCCAAGGCCAGGCTTGGTGGGGGGCAACAGAGGGAAAACGGCACAGAGACACAAATGGGCAGGCTCTTCATGATTCCTTGACATTCTGCCCTGCCCGACGGGTGTAGGAAGAGAGGCTTTGAGATCTGTCGTCGGCCTAGGCTTGAGCTGGGAGATGCCTGGCCTGCCGGATAAGATGGGCATGGAGGCGGGTCCTACCCTGTTTTCACCTCTGGCCCTCACAGACATTGCCCACCCCCCATCCTCCACCTCCTTCCAGAAAGTTCCTTACTGTCCTCGGGGTTCACCAAAGGTGAGGACATCTCTGAAGCCTGTGGGTCCCACTCACCCAGGCCAGGGCCTAGGACTTCTCTGCTTGTAGCCAGCCATGGCCTAGCCATCTCAAGACCAACGCAGTACCTTTATTGGAATGAATCACAGCTTGGCCCCTCCAGAAGGGGCCATTTCTGGACCTCGAGGGCTGGCCTTGAAGCACGACTGACCCTGGCTCCCAAGGAGGACTGGGCCTGGGATTCGTGACCTAGAATCCATGTCGCCATACCCAGTCACACAATTCCAACCTGAGACGTCTGGGGGCCAGGCCCTCAGAGGGCCTCACCGCTTGCTTTCGTGTGTGTGGATTCCTTAGTCTGAGCGTTGGAGGAGAGGCTCGAATTCACCACCTGGGAGTTGAGAATGGTATTCTTCACTGCTTCCTCTGACATACCGTCAGAATGTGAATTCTCAGACGTAACGTCCGTAATCCTCTTGAGGGGGTTGCTGGAGCTGAAGTCCGAGAATATGTCTCTCTGGAAGCTGAGAAAAGTCATGACTCAGGCCGCTTCAGCCCTGCCCAGGCCTGCACTCCCCAGAGCCAGGGCTCTCTCGCTCCCTCAGGTCCACAGTCAAGCTTCAACATGAGTCCCGGCAGGCCCCTCACATCCAAGATCAGGCCTGTCCCTTGGGACCAGCAGATAGTGTAATGGCTACGTCACTGGACTCCCATATCGTCGACTGTGGTTTGAGTCCTCGACTCAGGGGCTTAAACTCACACTGGGCGCGTGTGCGTGTGTGCCCAAGATCCCGAGAGGAGAGTGGAGGAGAAGGGATTGTGGCGTGGCCATGCTCCCTGGGGTGGTGGTGGGGATTTCTTGCTTTTTTTGTCTCTCTGTTTCTCTCTGTCTTTTTGGTGAGCACAAAAACCTCTCCAAAAAAAAAAAAAAAAAGATCAGGCCTGCCCCACCTCCCAGAACCAGTCCGAATCTGCCCTTTCTGTGTCTGGGGGGCTGGGCCCAGCTTCCCCATTGCTAGCACCCACCCAGCACCTGCCCTGTGCCAAACGCTCGGTGTGGGTTCCCCCCTCTCAGAAACCCTCCGGGAGAAGGCGGTGGGACAATATGGCTCTGCTATTCCGTGCCTCAGTTTCCTCATGTGTAAAAGGAGGACAGTGACAGGACCTACCTTGCATTTGGCTGTTCTGAGGACAAAGTGGGATAAAGCACCTGGGGAACAGGACCCGGCGGGTAGGAATCGCTCACGAAGCGCTAGGGACTCTGACTCTTGCTCTGTGCTCGTGTTCCACCTCGCGCATGCGTTAGGAAGCACAGCACAGATGGACGTCCAGGCCCTCCGCCTGCGGGGCCCGTGTTCTTAACCAGCGTCTCTCTTATTCTGCTGCGTTGTATTTCCCCTTCTACAACGGAGCAGACTCCTATTCCTCCTGCAAAGCCCTACTCAAATTTCAGTTCCTTTGTGACATTCTCCCTGACTCCTCAAACGAAGGTTCTCCCCTCCTCGGGCTCCTAGCAGACCTGTACCTCCTGCCATCAGAGTCTGCTAAAGATGGTTGGAGGCATACTTGTCTCCCCATAAACCATGGCCGAAGGGTGGGACCGCTGGACTCTGGACAACCCAGCCCTGGCACAAGGAGTTCTAATGAGAATTTGAGGGAAGGAGGATGGTGGGGAGAGCGCAGAGAAAGACCAGAGGCAGCAACTCCTGCCGTGCAGAGCACAGGGCACAGAGGATTTCAGGGACCCTCTGTCACTCGGTGGCACTTGGGTCCCCTAGGTCAGGGAAGGGTGATGGGTTTCTGTTGGCTTAACCCCCATAACAGATGGCTCTGCCAATCATGACAAGTCTTATCCAGGGGCCACTCAGGAGAGCAGGGACCAGAGGTGCCCATGGAAGTATTAGTGGGGCCTAGTTTCAAGATGGGGTCTTGGGGCCAGAGCTATTCACCAAAACTGTTCTTGTTATTTTTTTTTTGAGGGGGGGGGGATTTTTGCTATAGGGCACTAGGACGCTCACCAGAGAGTCAGAGAGAGACAGAAAGTGAGAAATCATCCCCTGGAGGGATGGCCATGCTGGAATCCCTTCTCCTCCATTCTCCCCTCGGGGTCTTGAGCATGTACGCACACACACTTGGCTTGAATTTAAAGCCACCGAGTCCAGGACTCAAACCATGGTCGACTACGTGGGAGTCCAGCAATGTAACTGCTGTGCTATCTGCTGGTCTGAACCATAACTGGTTCTTTATAAGGAAACAGGAGTGAGAGAGGAGAGGCACTCTGAGACCCCGGGAGGAGAGGCCAGGGCATCTCAGGAGTGCCCCTGGAGGGTATCCCCAATGGCAGTGCCAATCAGCAGACAGGGCCAAGGGAAGGGCTGGCTCAGGATGCCAGGCAGGGCCAGGGCTGCCAGAGACTGGACTGGCCCCACGAGGTGGCTGCAGCAGAAGAGTTAGGGAGACTCCCGTGGACACAGGGTGGCCTCATGTCCCGGGACCTTCCCATAAGGGGTGGGGACAGACCCAACGCTATCAGCGCCAAGGGCTTGGAAGCCGGCCAGTGCTGGCAGGGCCAGGTGTCACACACCCACCTGATCTGTCTGGAGTAGCGCTCCAGGCTGTCGCAGAGGGGCTGACCGTGCGTTTCCGGCAACAGGGAAGAGAAGAACAAGGCTAGGACCACCGAGATGCAGCAGAGGAAGACGGGCAGGAGGGAGCGCGTCTGGCTGGTGATTGTCAGGGAGGAGAGGGCTCCAGCTGCCATGGCCAGAGACACCAACCCCAGACCTGTGGCCCTGCAAGTGGAGGTGAAAGCTCACCAGAGGGCCTCGGGGGCCAGACGCCAGGTCAGGTGGGGAACCGGCTACCTGATCTGATGCCTTGTCCCTGCCAGTCTCCACCCTGTCCTGTCTATTTTTTTTTTTTTTTTTTTTTT